GAGGCCAGTGAAGACCAGTCAGTGAGGTCAGAGGTCAGTGAAGACCATTCAGAGTCGTTGAGTTCATCAAACACTCACCTGCTTCTGATTGAGCGCAGGTGCCCAGTCGATTCTGGGCATCAGCTGCACGTCGTCGATCTGCTCGTAGATGTCTCTGTAGACGCCAGCGTCCTTCAGCCAGCGCTCGTGCAGGAGGATGACACTGCAACAGAGAGAAATCTCATTGGGCTTTGCTGCTGACAGCTTTAATCTTCTTTAGAAACATCTGAGGATAAGAAGCGCTCTCACTTCTCCACACTCTGTTTTCCGTCTACTCACTCGTTCTCAATCTCTTTGGCTTGTGGGTGATTGAGCTTCTTGACTTTGTCCACATCCAGGAAGAGTTCCTTAAGGTGCTCCTCGGCATCTCCCAGTTTGATTTTAAGCTCCTCTTGATGCTGAAAGGGCTGCTCCTTCTTTTCATTTTCATAGTCCTGGTGGAAGCAGACAGCAGATGAGCTGATGCTTTGTTCATATGGGAGATAAGAAGGACGTTGTCCCAGTTTGTTCTCACCACAGCCAGCAGCTGTTCGGACCGGAGGACATCCTTCTCCACCCTGTCGGCATTCTTTTGAATCTGAGCGATCAGCTGAGCCAAGTTGCCTGCCTGAGACCTGCAAGGGAGTAAAACACAAGCTGAGCCCAGGTCAGGATTCAGAACTGCTTCAAGGTTCAGAGGTTCACACCATCTTCTTTTGACCGTTGTCCTTTTTTAAACATAAAATATAGACACCTTCAAACCTTCTCCTCATCGTTTCATTCTCCTGGAAGCTCCATATTCAACACCATTTGTCCAGTATGTCCACTGTCCTCTTCTGCATGTGTCCAAACTGCCTAATATGAGCTGTCCACCTCTCTGGGCTCTCTTCCATCCACTACCTACCCCCACTACAAACCACAGTGTCATCTGCAAACATCACAGTCCATGGGTGCCCCTGACTTAGAGCTGTCATTTCTAACCTGTGCCCGAAGCCCGGCCCAACCTGACCCAAATTCGGGTCGGGCTATGATAATGTGCTGGATAGGCGAGTCGGGTCGGTGTCGGGCTTTTGATTGTGTCAGCAGATCAACCGCGATCCAATTATAGGGCAACATGGCTTGCCATACTTTCACCAGCAGCACGTGGCCATTTCACTGTGAAAGTTCAGTTAAGCTTCAGATGGGACTGTACTGCCAGGTAGTGATCCATCGCCCAAATGGACGTTCATTCAGTCGCTGCACTCAGTGGACGCACGCGGCCGATGACCCAAACAGGTGAGATCCCAAAGCAGACATGACAGAGCAGGGTCCGTGTCTGAATAACGCAGAAGCAGGGATTTAATGCGCTTTGATGGCTATGAAAGGACAAACACATCCTCAGCTCTGATCTTCTGCCCCTTTTATTCAGCGCGCGTCCCCGACCATTAATAACTATATCAAAGCTTAACTAAAAATGTCGGAGGTTGGGGGGTGGGTTTGGGTTCAGACCTTTAATTACTGCTAATTTGTCAAATCGGGTGGGGTTTGGAAATGATGGCTACGGGCTGGGGCTGTGTCGGATCAGAAATTTGGGCCCAAATGCAACTCTACCCTGACTGTCTGTCAGTTACCACTACAAACAAGAAAATACTATAGATTTATTTCTACACTGCAGGGAGTAAGAGTAAAATATGTCCCATTAGGAGCTAAAATAATTAAAACATGTTCATATATGTAAGCTGCAGCAGCTTCACATACAAGACAGAGACAACCACAGACCACCTGGAGCAGTCCAGGTTCAGGGAGTACCCGTTCATCAGGAACTGTTAACCCGATGGGATGGAATCAGGGCGAGGATGTTTCTGAGCCACGCCCGAGACGTTTCTCATACCGGCTGATCTCTGGTCAGCCTTCTTCAGACAGCTGCCACTGCCTTCATGCTTCAAACAACTTTTAGCTTCAATAAATAATCTCTGGGAGATTAAATTATGGTGTTTGCAAAAGAAAAGAAATTATAATACTGAAGAGACGCAGTTGTCTGTTCCTCCAGCTGGCTCTGAATAACTTCTCATATAAAACACGATGAGGCAACATCTCCATCTTCACCAGGATGCGCTGAAGACGTTGTTTTAAACATATAGTTTATTAACATTAACTATCCTGCAGATCATCTTAAGCTTGATTTAACTTTAGATTTCCTTCAATAATGTCACACACAGATATATTTATACTTTGCAGCACATGCCTCCTAATGCACCTAAATCTAAAACGTGTTAATTTAAAACAAAAAACAACCGGGAAAGGAATGAGCACACACAGCTCGTGTAAAATAGATTGTAATGTTTAAAGTTGAGCAGCAGCAAGTTGTCTGTAAAATGTGTTTTTATCTGAAGATACTGAAAAAACATTTACAGGAAATGAGCAGGTTTGGTGATGAAATGCTCTAAACCACTACAGAGTAATCCTATAAAGCACACATTCGGTGGGGGTGGGGGTGGATAAATGGCAGTAAAAGTGAATTTAAAGCGGCCAAAGATCTATTTGTTGTAGCTCTTTGCTGAGGATGAGTCACACGGAGCTGGTTGTTCCTGTTCAGTCAGCAGGAGAGGCTGGTCGGGTCAGAACCAGCACATACTGGCCTCTAATGTCCACTCCAGTGACTGAATCACGTCAAACTGTAAATGAAGGTGCAGGACACTTGGTGACAGGAAGGATTAGACTTTTTGTCTGCTCCCAGATTTATGTTGGGCCTTTTAAATTCTGACAGAATCTCCTTGTTTTTCATCAAAATAACATAAAATGTGTTGCTCTAATTCCAACAAAGCTCAGTCAGGTCATCTGGACAGTTTTTCATTTTATTTTTATTGTGATGAAACATTTTAGTCTTCATCCAAAGGACTTCGTCAGTTCGAGGAGCCACAACAAACTCAGTCCCACAAGCAGCACACTCACATTTACCTGGATCACTGCGCATGAACTTTGATGTTTTGAACCACTTTGGCTGCCTCAGAGGAGTCAACGTGGGAGAGGGTGGACTCCAGAAACCATCATATCACCAACAAACTGGTTGGCCCGCTATGGGGGTGTGCTGCTGGTGGAACTGAGGTTGTTGTGGCTCCTCAGACTGATGAAGTCCTTTGGATGAAGGACAAAATGCCTCAACAAAAGAATAGAAACCGTCCAGAGTACCTGACTGAACTTTGTTGGATTTTTTACTTGGATTATTGAGCAGGAATGTTTTGCTCTGACTGGTTTCTTCTCGCTCTTCATGGTTTGGTGTTTGTCTTTAACTTGGTCTTGTTTTCGTGCGGACCTTGGCAGGTTTAGATGAACGATTTCCTACGAGTCTTGAAGGGTTTTTTCAGTTTGACTGGACGAGCAGCGGAGAGTTACAGGCCACGCCCTCGCACGTCTCTGCGCACACTCTGTGTGTCTGTGTGTGTGTGTGTGTGTGTGTGAGGGCTTTTCCCATGTCAGGAGTGAGTGTGTGTGTTCTCTCATGCGCAGTGTGTTTTCCAGCAACAGCTTGTAAGTTCTCAGGTTGTGTAGAAAACTATGGTCATTAAAAAAAACCTAAAGATTCTAAGTTTTGGTGCAAACTAAAGGTCAAAGGTTAAATTTGTGTCGAGCTGAACATCACTCTGCAGCTCTCTTGCAGGTGTAAGATGAAACTATGTGAAGCAATGACAGATTTCACTACAGAGGCGAAACAACTGGATGAGCTGCATTACTGAGCGGGGCTGGTCTGCATTGTTTCTTCACCCGCAGGAACTGCAGGGTCAGAAAAACTTGTAACACCAACACTCCCTGACTTAATTAGCTCTCACTTTCTCTCCCCAGCCCAGGGCAGGTCGTACGCTTCATGCTGAACCTCATACACGTTTCACAGAATGTGTCCTGGAACTAGTTCAGTCATCTTGGCTGGATCAGAGTCCCACACATCTGGAGCCTTGAGAGCAGCCCAGTCCTGCCAGATGTTTCTACCTGAACCTTCAGTAACGCCTGCTCTCTCTTCACCTTTGCCCGAGTCTTTGTACCAGAACTGTTTATGCTGAAGAGTCTCGTGAGTGGAAGAATAAACTGCATCAGCCATCGTCACTGAACCTGTTTCCAGCTGTTAATGACGAGCTTCTGCCTTGAAGCCACACTAGATGTGTTCAAACAGTGAATCCTGTGAAACTTACAGAAGTCTGTGTCATTAAACGACTGATCAGTCAGATCTGAAGAGGGACAAACACAAAAAGTCACAGAATGCCTGTAAAACAGATAAAAGTATAAACGAACGTGAACGTAACGATTTTTCCACAGATTTGACTCAACAATGAGCGACTTGTGGAAACTTTTGAAGAACGTTTGGAAAACCAACACCCACATTAAAACAAAGGAAGCTGATGAGTTGTGGAGGGCCCGGCCCTGATCACGTTGCAGCACACGACACCTGCAGGACAGAGGGACCGGGACACGGCCCAGCTGATGGGAACCAGTAGAAATCCTCATGATTACAACTGATCTCACCCTAAATAGAACACGAGGAGCCACTTTCAACAGAACAGGAGAGACCAGAGTGAAAGTACTTCCTTCTTACAACCGCCTCAGATAATGTCAGTGACATCGTCATGAAGACTCACTCAGAAACAACAAGGTTCACTGAAGGTTCACAGACTGAAAACTACATGAATATGTTTCAGTTCTGTTCGTCCAAGAACTTCAGCGTCTCTGTTAAGTTTGTGCAGCTATTTGAAACTTTGCGACATGTTTTTAACACCTGCCCAGCCTGACACACAAACACCTGACAGATGAGTTTTCCAAACTAAACCTGAGCTCAGCATCTGGGAGAGCGTTCTCCTCCCAGAGGATCACAAGTGTTTTCCTTCAGCTCACATTCCTGAAAGCCTTGAGACAAAAGCAGGCCCACAGCCCACTCAGGGAGCACGACACAGTGGTTGGCCTGTGGAAAACACACACATGCACTACGTTTCTGCTCATGCAGAGTGCGCAGGACAGAAAACTCACTTGCTGAGCTTGCTCGAGCTCTTCTGGGCATCCTTTTTCTTGAACATCTTGCAGGATGTCAAGCAGAGAAAAACTCCCTCTCGGTCTCTCCTTCTTTGTCTCGGTCGTCCTCACCTTGTGGCTCCTGCTGTATGTGTGGGTCCTCTCACACACAATAAAACACACACTCAGGCCAGCACACAGAGCTTTACACAGGTGGCTCCTCCCATGCAGGTTGGCAGGTGTGTCCACGCCCAGACATCCACCTTGAAGAGTCCAGACTGACCTGTTCTTCAAGCTCTTCCTTGTGGCCCCACTCTTCCTCCCCCTCCCTTTGTTCCTCTTCATCAGGGGCCCTGACTCTGTCTGGGGCTCATGGGGCAGGATTTATGCTAAAGTCCAGAAATAAAACTGTTTTTATTTGTGCAAATGTAAGACTCAACTGTGCCTTTTAAACCCAGTGCTCTGTGTACCTGGATTTTGGATTAAATGCATTTTGTTGTACTGTAAAAAAAAAAACCCTATGAATTATAGTTCGTAACATAGACATCACTGTGCCTTAAAATGTTGAACTGGGAAAAAGTTCAGTTTTATTGATAACTTGTTCTGGTTGTCTCATTTCCACATGCCTCTTGGCCCTGCTGCACATGCTGACACCGTGTGTGTACAGACAACAGTGGAACACCCGGAGGGTCAGGCAGGGAGCCGGTTATATAACCCCTTCAATGGGGGCTACAGGTCAGGAGGCCGGCGATTAAAACAAGACTCCATACAGCAAAAAGTCCCAGAAGTGTCCGATCTGTGGCACAGACCTGCAGAGCATCAGGATCAGGGCGTCTCTTTCTCTCTGAAGCGTTCCAACAAAAGGGAATCTTGGAGAGGAATGCAGCTGAGCAATGTTCTGCGCAGCGCACATATTTCTCTCTGGTCCAGTCATAGTCAGTCTCTGGGTGTGTTCAGCTGTCTGGATAAACCGATACCGTTGGTGTTGCTTAGATACTCCATTCTGGGTCTTCGTCAGGAAGACCTCTATGAAGGGACGCACTCTGCAGGGGCGTTCTCAGAAATTTGAGGTCACTGGGGGTCCAGCCCAGCACAGAAAAACTGAAAATATGACCTGACTGAAGTTATGACATGCCATTTGTTTCAGCGTGAAACAATTCAGCCTTTTTTTTTCTTCTTAGCAGTATGAATAAAATGCAAAAAGAAAAAATATTTCTATATTTTTATTTGCAGTCTCCCTAAACTGAGCCACGTAGTCACGGTTTGCTGCAGCCTTTATTCCAAACCACAGCCTGTTTTCATGTGCATGAATTGCAAAACTATTTTAGGCTGGGCACGTTATTTTGTCACAAACCTTCACCTACATTGATCCTGCCTCGTACAACATGGCTGCCACTCCATGTTCATGATTTATTATACTGGTTAGAGGAAGACGAGCAGACTTTGTTCACCAATAATTAAAATTTACCATCTGCGTTCCTTTTAGACTAAAACATGTTGGGCTGTAGTCTTGGATGTTTTCTGTCACAGGAGAGCTCCTGTTCAGACAAAATTAGAGGTTACTGGTGGTAAACTTGGAGGACTTCCTGTCCAAACCTTCTCCCTGTTAGCTTGCGCTGCCTTTACACGCAGATGGTGGAATTTCAGAGTTCCAAGTCAGAAGCATCAACTAAAATGATGACTCCTCAGAGAGACTGCACTGTACGACCCTTTGCAAGTGGACAGAGTTTTAATACACACAAAGTAGAGAAATACAATGCTGTATGATGTTGACATCCATTTTACTGAACACATCGAGGAGATCCTCCTGGGTTTGACTTGCAACTGGACCTAAGTGATCTAACTGGACCTCCCTGATCACTGCAGTGCCTTTTTGTATCTTCTGCTCATTTCTTCTCTTTTCAGTTTTGCTCCTGCAAAACAATGAAAATCTACATAAATCCTGTATTTTCTAGTTTTATCATTTGGCTTGAGGCTAATTTATGTTGCATGTGTTCAGACTAAACCAAAGATTCAAACATTTTCTGGATTTCTGCTGTTTGGACACAACTGTACACATAACCCTTGGCCAATAATTGGTTTCATTATAATACATCCATCCATCAATCCATCCATCCATCCATCCATCCATCCATCCATCCATCCATCCAT